ATGCCAAGAGGAATGAACCCAGCTGGGTCTCTACCCACCCTGGAACTGTTAATAAGTCTTAGCCAGCTCCTTCGCACAGATCATTGAATCGTGACACATGTGGGCTGCCGAAGGACACTTAAGTGCATGGTACTAAATAACAAGCCATGATAATTACCACCTTTTACTATTACATCACATCACTTGCCTAAACTTCTTTTCAGTAATTCTTTCTTCTCAAAGACTGCTGAGCATCATAATTACTATTCTCAAAGGAGCGCCATTAGCCACTTCCAGAAAGAGTAAAGAATGTAGTACCCAATAGTCCAGTGGATTAATTTAACTTTGAATTGGGTTGTTCCAGAGTGTAAGCTATTTGAGAAGAGCCTGATACCCAATCTCACCTTTTCTTCTCTATGAAGTATACTAGCCTGCCTTTCATCTTCTATCCAGGAGCTGAAGAATTGAGCCTATGGATGCTGGTGCTGGAGGTGCCAAGTTTGCTGTGTGTGTCTGTGAAGATTCTAAAGAATGAACTTGAGTCATCTCTCACAACTTTCTCTACACTAGAAGCTACACTCTTCTTCCAAGGCTTTAAGAGAAATGACAGAGGTGTCTCTGCAGTTTGACTGCAAAGCAAGTCTAGGAAGCCTTCTTTCCCTTTTGAGTTGAAGCTGCAGGCAGCCCTCCCGATTAGCAAATTCCTGATTTGCTAATCTGGCCTTGGCTACCAACCTCAGCCAATGCCATTCCCCAGCGACATAGCCAGGCCCAAGTGGAGAGGACTCTCTTGTTCCATTTAAACCACTCCCTAAGTCCCATCTAGAAAGTGGTCACTTGCCAGTTTTTACTTATTTGAGGAGTGTGGAGAAGGCACGTGGAAACGCCACTCACTTGAATCATCTGGGGCCTTTCTGCCGAGGCTTGTGTGTATGGAATCTTGGATCTAGAAGGTCGGTCACATTGGCCCTCTGAGACAGGGTGACACAGACGGGGGAAAGCACATGCCATCCTTCAGCACTGAATCAACTCAACATGAGGTGGGTCAAAGACAGAGGGACTGTCTGAGGGCAGATGAGCTCCTCACCAGCACCCATGGGGCTGACCAGCTTCCCTTTCAGGGATGATACATCACATTCTTAATAAATTCTTATAATTTAATATACCCAGGAACCGCCCAATTAGAGCAGAAGTGGGTCTGTGGATCACAGCAGGGTCCTGGCGGCGCCTTGCCATGCCAGGCACTAGACCTGTATTTGCTGGGTCACAGAGCAGTCTCGGGAGGGTCTGGGCTGCTGGCAGTAGGGAAGGAGACTCAGGTACAAGGGTGACAACTATTGATACCAGGTGCAGCTGTGCTTCAACATCTTGACAAGTGGCCTGGCCACACTGCAGTGCTCCTGGCTTTCCAACCCATCCCCCACATGACCATGTGGTACAATATGAAGCAGGAAAACTTGCCCTTGGGCCCTACAGACTGTGCTGTGAGAACCCACAACACCTGCTGCGAGCTCCTGGACATTAACTATAGCCTGCACACTTACACACGTGGGGGCAGAATCAGGACCTAGGCCCATTTCCATAATAAGGACAGCAGGTCCACTGAAGTCCAGGTAGATCAGACCTCGTGGTACAGTGAGCACTGCAGCCAATGGCAAATGTTATGGGCAAAAAAAGAGATCACTGGAAAAGACCCTGAGGCTGAAATTGACCTGCCAGTCATGCCTAGGACAAGCCTGCAGAAAGCATATTTCCCACTGGTGACATTGCTCCCACCCTCTGCCCAGCCTTTGAGACTGCTACCCTCCTAGGATGCTCCCAGAAGTAGTGTCCACTTCTACTGGAATAGGGCTGCCCCAGAGTCTGCTGGCTCTTTCTTCCCCTCTCTCCGCACACCCCACATGTATACACACACACGCGTACACACACGCAGCTTCCAGCCTATACACATCAGGGCAGGTGAAAGGGGCTCATAAGCCCTTCTTTTCTCTACACAGTTAAGAGACTTCAAATTTTTTAGATTCTTCCCCATAACCTCTGCACAATGGCTACTTTGGAATATTGACCTTAAAACCCCAACTGGCTACTTCAGGTGTCTTGGGCTCAGCATCAGATGTACAGACTCTCCAATCACCACTTGGAATCAGCTGAGAATTCAAGATGAGATACTCTCATCAACCAACTTCTTGGGCAAAATTCTGCTGTTCTTAAGATGTAAAAATGCAACCTGCAGAGTAACCTCTGTTGACATCTTTGTGCATTGCCTAGATATCTTTAAAAGGGGGTAATTCTCCTTCTCAATGGATAAGTACGGTACAGAACAGAAAAGAGATCAAAGGAAAACAAGAATTTCTTGAAGTTCTGGTAGTAAACAGGCATATGATATTATTATTGTTGTAGTCTTAATAATAAGCAATTATACGTTCAAAGTGCTTTACAATCACTTAGCTATTCCTCACAACAGCCCTGTGAGGTAGGTCGACATTATTAACCCCATTTTACAGATGGGGGAAACTGAGGCACAGAGAGGTTAAGTGTCTTGCCCAAGGTCACCCAGCAAGTGAACGCTGAAGCTGGGACTAGAACCCAGGTTCCCTGACTCCCGGTGTCCTTGAAACTAGACCACACTGCTTCCAAAGAGGCATCCCCAGACTGGCTCTGAGCACGAATTAAAGACGAACAATGTTAGATGAGGTTTGGGTGTGGTGGTGTTTCCTGTGGACACGTTAAGATGGAACCTGAGGTGTTGTCTGGATTGGTTTTGGCATGCGGGTGTATGTGTTAGTTTCAATGGGTGTATCTGAGCTTCCCGGCCTGTCCACGTCTCACTGCATTCTGGACTGGGTCACTGCAGAGAGCAGGGCAGAATGCTCAGGAGGTCATGGCGGACTGGCATACAAAAGGAACTCTGTCAGCTCAGTGCCGAGGGGCCTGCCAGTCTTTGGGAGTTCGGGCAAACTAGGGATGCAGGACTTTGGAACAGAGTCAGATGCCCACCTTAGGTAGGTCTGCTTAATCTTTTTATTTTTTTTTAATCTTTTGTTTTACTGGCCAGCATCAGGAAGTTGTGTTCATTTCATTTCTCTGTGGGGCAGCTGTCCCCCTCCTTTGCTCTCTCTCACTCTTTCCCTTTCTCTGAGTCTCTGCTTGGAAGGGAAAACTGTTAAGCCTTGTACGTTCCCTTTCATGAAAAAGAACCACCGTGAGCAACGTCCGCGACAGGCAGCCCTGGCTCCGCAGATGAGCCACGGCCCCGCTTCCACCTTCCGGAGGAGTGCTTTGCTTGGAAGGGGTCTCCCTGGGGCCTTGGGTCTGCGTTTTCCTGCATTTCTTCCGAAATGCTGTTTCAGTAGAAATAAGCCCACTTGAGACTTTTCCCTTTCAAGGCCTTAGCCACAAACGCCTTCCGACTAACCAGCTTGGTGCCGTAGCTCAGGCAGAAAATTTTAAAGCATCCGTTCAAGCATCTGAAACAAACGAATCAGCCAGTGAAATCTCATCTGTTAGCATCTGTTCTCCTCTTAGATTAAAAAAAGAAAAAAATTTAAAAAGAGCCTTTTGATGGCTTCAGGAAGAATCATGCTTTTTTAAAAAATAAAAATAAAACAAAACTCCACTACTTTTTAGACTAAGATGACCAGGTAACAGGTGTTTGACCTTCTACAGGTTAAATCTCTGTGAAGGATCCCATTTTCTTCAGTCTTTAAGCACCGAGCCTCCCTAAGAAGGCCACATGGGGCACTTCGGGGGCTGAGAGTCCTTTGCTTCTTACATACCACCCACATCTCCCCTCAACCAGCTGCATCACCATCTGGCAGCTTGGGCATATCTGTACAATTATTCAACCTAACAACCTAATTCTTTATAGTGAGGAATAATGGTCTCTTCCTTAAACCAAACTTCCAAGCAGGCAAAAGGACTATCCCTCCAAAGCTTTCCTACAATGGAGATGGGAAGGATCCCATCTGGGATGAGTGGGGAACACAGTGTCCTCGGCTTCTACCGGAGTGCGTGTCTTTTGCAGAAAGGAAATTCTTGAATGTTGAAAGAAAAAGAAATGAACAAAACTTATCCCACTTTGGGGTCTTTCTCTCATCCACAAGACACTGGACAAATTAGTGTCTGTAACTTGCACAGATGTCCTCATCTAGAAGGTCTGATGGGACATTCGGCATGCACTGCTGTCTGCTGGGAAGGGGACTGAGAGTTTTCGTGGCTGCATGGCTGTGTTCCTTTATTTATTTGCCCCTCGTGGAAACTTGCAGGTCACTCGGATGTAGCAACAATGGATGATGAGCGAATGCTGTGTCAACCTAAAGTGAACATGGCATGTAGGAGATGCACAAGAGGAAAGTAAAAAAGGCTGGATGTAGCTTCTCTCTGGTTCCCTCTGTAGAGGGGCTGGAGAGAAGGTTGGTTTTAATGATGAACATGGATGGAAGGATGGAAACTGCACACTCATTCAGACCACAGAGGCCAGAAGACACCGGATGCCGAGCTCCTCCCCACACACGGATCCAGGAGCTCAAGCCATTCCCCTTCACCAGGGAGGCAGCATTGCAGTTGGTCTGAACACAGGGAGATCAGATGGAGCCCACAGGGTTCAAAACCACAGTGTTTCTGTGTGTCCTTGAAAAACCATTCTCTGGGGTGGGGGCACAGAGGTCTTGGGCCCGTTCTGAAAGCTGTTCAGACAGACTGCACCCTACGCAGCACAAGCACGCACATGCCTAGGTCCAAACTTCTGCTCACACTGCGACGGCCACGCTCCACTTTCCATTAGCAATCAGTCTGCCAGCCATGGGGCGCCCTGTCATGGGAGGAGGCAAGTCATCCCCGATCTCAACAGGCCACGCCCACTCTCAAGGGCTTCCCAAGGCTGTGTCCTTGTCCTAGTTACACTGGTGGAACTGCCATCCCACCATATTTTCCTAACTGCTACATTGCCACCCAGTATTTCATCACGCAGAAAGGAATGCCTCCTCATGCTAATTAAACATGGAGTAACAAATCACACTCACAGCCATTTCTACAGCACAGGAAGCCAAAATGCAATTCGAATTATCCTTCAAGGAGACAAAAAAAAATTCTGTTTAATGTTTTAGAATCAAGTACATTTTCAGTTTATCTGTTAAGATTATGAACACAACTTAATTTTCTAGGCCGCATTCTCAACATAAATTACAGACAATGCTTCAGCTCCCATTGGAGCCATGTGAAAATATGTTGGTATCGTCTAACTAGAAATGTTTGCATTTCACCAGTAAAATGAAACTCTATAAACAATAAAATAAAAACATTTAGGAGAAACCCTCAACATTATTGCAATGCAATGTAAGAGAGTCTTTTAACCCATGACCTGCCACTATATTATTCATGCCATTCAACCCTTCGACGTAAGACTCAGTAAATCCAATATGTGAAATCTGATAAATACTTAACCTTGTGTTGTTTCTGCATGTATTAAAACATCAGAACACCATTTCCAGCCACTAGAGAAAGTGCTGAAGCTATCTAATTGGGAAGTCTTGGGTTCAGAAAAAGTATAAATAACCCTGCATCCAAGTGGCCTCCATGCCTTCCACAAAAAATGTAAGATTCTTACGGTACCTAGCTAACTTGATGGCTATAAATTAGGACATTGACCATTGATGACAGACTCTGTTCCCCCCTCCAGGAAAGTCATCAAGTTCTGGTTCCAATTAGGCCCCCAGAACAATAAGCAGTTCCTACAAGCCAAGAGCACTGGGAAATGGAACTAAACAATCTAACCAGCCTCGTCTTCTGGCCAGGGGTTACTTTAAGGGCAAGCCTGCAGAAGCATGTTCATTACTCCCTCTCCTCGCACCCAACCTGGCCACACTGCCCTCAAGGACAGATGGGCCAGAGACTTCTTACAATCTGCAAACATATCTCTGCAGTTTGCTTTGTCTCTCTGAGGCTAGCTGTGAACTGCAATCCAGAAGGAGAGCTGTTACTTTTACAAACTGGATTGGTTGGAAGTGAGAAAGCTTCATTTGTAAATCCCACCGCCTGAGATGGCAATGGGCTGTTTGACCGAGCCTAGGATTCCCTCAGCTACCTTTAGGATACATGATCTAAGGAAGGAAGATCAACGTCTTCACCTGCCAACCCACATATGCCTCTTTCCCCCGCCCCTGCAGCTGTTTGGGTAGAACAGAGGTTTCACCACAAATCAGCAGGTCACTGTCACACAAGGCCATCTACCAACCCACCAGATACAAACACAGCCCATGTTTGTCATTCATTCATTGGCTGTCATTCATATTCATATTCATATTCTCTCTCTCAGCAAAATCAAAGATAAGCCTTCATTTTGGTTGTTACCATCACTTTGAACACACAACAACACTGGGCATTTTATCCTGGAGAAGAGTGAAGGACTCTTCCATGTTGAACCTTATCAATATCTACAAGGCCAAATTTAATATGTGCTGAGAACAGGGGCATAAAATTTTAGCGTAGATTTTTAAAAATTCTTTATCGTATCCATGATAGACTCAGAGCACTCTGGGCAGCAGAGGTGACTGGGCTTCTGACTCATTTGGACAGTTGTTTCAGATGGTTTGCCAGCCTCTGTGATTCCTTCTTCCCTGTCCTTAGCATCTTCTCCCTCTTTGCCCTGTCTCCTTCATTCACAGCACTCACAGACCACCTTCCTAGCCCCTCTTCCTCCTGGTCCCCATCGTGCCTTCTTGTCCCCACCACATACCTGCTTCCCATCCCAGAGCTTTGGGGTTTCCTAGGATTCTACATTTCTCACATGCATGGACCCTGGCTGGGGCCAGAGGTTCCTGAAAACCACATCCACACTCTAGGAGCCTGGAGTGGGACTCAGGTGGAGGAGGGAGAGGGCCCAGAGGCTGGCTGGGGTGTGAGAGCATAGCAGGTGCACAGCTGGCCTCCCAGCCATCAGGAGACAACACACAGAGACAGACAGACACACACACCACACACACACACAGAGTACATACTAGAGACACACACACACACGTAGTACATACTACACACACACACACACACGCACACACACGTAGTACATACTAGGAGGTGATGAATGTTACTGAAATGGACCAAAAACCAACAAGCAGTGGGGTAAGAAACAAACAGAAACAAAACAAAGCACTTGCGTTCAGATGGAAAGCTGTTCATTTACTAGGCAGCCAGAACCCTGGAGCCCAGGGCTGTGGGGAAGGTGGGTGCCTGCTTGGAGGACACTGCCTGGCGGGGCTAGGGTGCGAGGGCAGCGCTCGCTCCTTTCTGTCCCGGCAGCCCTGCCACGTGGGTGGTGGCAGGTGCGGGACTCTATGGGGGAGGCAACAGGGAGGGAAGCACTTACCTCGTGGCCCAGGAATGGCTAGTCCACATTTGGGGAGTGTGTAGTATCTCTAGTCCACATTTGGGGAGTGTGTAGTATCTCACTTTAAACAAAATCCTGGTGGTACTGCTCAACCATGAATAGGCAGCTCTCTAGTATTTCAAATAAGCTTGTAAAATCGTTAGTGAAAAGAGAAAACAGAAGGAGACAACAATTCACCTGTAGGGCAATTGTGGTGTTCTTCGCAGGGTACTTTCCCACCAGTCCTTGTTCTTTCCGTTTCTTGAATTTCCTAAAGTAGTCCTGTATCAGGAAAGTGGCATAGAACTTCCCCACGGTTACCTCATCATCTAAACGGAGAGACCAGACAGAGCTCTCCCGAATCAGCACATTAGACCAAGAGCCTAAACACTTGCTTCTGGCTGGGGCAGGGGCAGGGGCAGGGGCAGGGTGGGGCAGGGGGGTGGGTGGTGCGGCGCAGAAGGCACCGAGCCCTCAGCATATAACATGGGAGTCTCAAACCAGCAAAAAGCAAGGTTTTGCAAAGAAATTAAGGCTCAAAATTAGTGTCAGTTAAATGAACTGATATTCTAGGTTGCAGAAAATAATATATTTCTTATGAGTTTACTAGAGCAGCATATTAGTAACACTATGAAATGCTGTCTTATTTACTTAAAATGAAAATTACAAAGCAAAAAGAGGCTTCACGGGCCACATTTCACCCCTGTGCATAGGGATTTGCATGTATAACTACCATAAACTTATCAAGGGCAATTAACCATCCAAATCCCGACATCTCAAGATAGAGACCTAGAAAGGTGACATACACGCTCATAAGGAGAGGAAGGTTCAGAAAAGTGACTGCAAAATCAGATTTTCACGAGCTCCTCGCTCCTGCATTCTCTGCCAATAAGCTCCATATACCATTTCTTGGTACGTAATTCTGAACAGCTCATTTTCTGCACTGTAGTGACAGGTCCAACCAACCTCAAAGTTGAGCTGGGCTTATTTTTGCTTTGTTCAGAAACAACCTCCAACGTGTATGGTTGGGGAATCAGAACTCTGCTGATGACTTTAAAGGTGATGCATGAGGCAGAATAGAGGCTCTGGCTATCTCATGGTAAACCACTTTGGACATGTAAATGTGCCCATGGGTCTCCCATGGCTGCTCCCCACCGGATCTTCAGTGTGCTGTGTCTCTTGAGGGTAAAGCTTACCATCACTTTAGTAGCCCATCCCATGTGTGTGGAGCCATGTGGGGCCCTGGGGGCCACAGACCATGACTTGCAGAGGCTGGGAGAAGGAATGGCTGCTGGTCCACAGGCTGCAAAGCAGGTGGCTTTTAGGCCAGGCTGCCCTTGCAAGAGTTACATGCTGATCAGGAGGCAAGGGGTTCAACCACTCTGAGCTTGTGTTCTCATCTCTAAAATGGAGATAAGCCTCTCAGAAGAGACATGAGGACTCTATGGGAGGAGGCAGGTAAAGAATGACATGGATCCTGAGCTTGATGGGGGCGGGGACATGGAAAACCATCATCCTTCACTAATGCACCCTGGGTGGGCTTCCCTTAGTGCCCATGCAGGAGGTGCTGCCAACATCTTGTGGCTCTCACTGGAGATGCCACTTTGGGCTGCTTCTCCAGCTCTCCCTGTCAGAAGTTGCTTGGTGTTACTGTGTGAGAAGGCTGTCTAAGTTGTCTGGCCTGGAGTGGTGTAGGGGGCCACCCAGGGAAGCGATAGGCTCTGAGTAGCTTGTAAAACACGGTCCTTAAGTGGTCTCAGGCTTGTCTAATGATGGAAGGTCCATAGGCAAGAAGGCAGGAGGTGAGCACAGACCTCAGGTCCTGATACTTCACCCCCCGCTGTGCTCTCTAGCCTCCCCATTTGCTCTGGATGTGTTTGGAATATCAGCTCTAGCTCTCACCAGCCCCTACTGTTGGACATCTATAAGAGCCAAGCCCCTTGTCAGAAGAATTCCATATGGGTCTCATGGCCTCTTCACAACTCTGACATGGTGGATCTGCTCACCGTGCCCCCAACAGATGGAGAGAGGCTAAATGACTTGCCCAGGTTGGTCTAGCCAGCACCTGAACACAGGACAGTGTGCTCCCAAGTCTGGGGTCCTATCCTCCACACCACCTCTCTGGAGATGGCTGTCTCCAGCCACACTGGCTGCCAGCTTCTTTGGAGCTGCCTCTCCCACCATGCAAGCATATCCCTTAACCAGGCTGCACATGGGAGGTGGACGCACTATTGTCTGCCTAGTACCTCCAGGGGCCCCAGGGAGCTTCTCTAGTGACCTGCCATGCCACAGCCTTCCTCTGTAGTCCAGGGCTCTGAGGGTTCTCTGTGGGGCCCAGAAAAAGCCCTGGCTCTACCTGCAGAAGATCCACACCTCATTCCACACTGGGATGCTTCCGGCAAATGCAGGCCTAGCCCTGATCTCCCTTCAGCTTCCAGAGCAGAGGTGGACCCACCTAGGGCCCTGCAGGAGAGGACTCAAGGGTCACTTCGTCTTCTCCATTGAGACAATGAGCTAATTAAGAGACTCGGCCCAAGGGAGAGTTCCTAAGAACAAGAAAAGTCAAAGCTATAGCAGGACAGAACAAGAAGGAAGAGGAAGAATGAATGCAAGGAGGCTGTCTGGGTTCAGAACTGAAAAGGAGATGGAGGCAGCTCAGTGTGCGCTTCAGGGCAAAGATGCAAAGGATCCAGGTCAAGTATGGAGGAGAGTCCTAGGGAGGAGAGAGAGCTTCTGAAATGAAGGGGAAGGACCCATGAGACGGCAGGGGAAGGCTGAAGAGCAGAGGTGATCAACTGAGCTGAGAGGCAGAAATAAGGCAAGTCAGGCAGCTCAGCACTGATGGTAAGGGGGCAGCCAAGGCCCCTGGGCCACTGGGAGTGAAGCAAGCATGATGTGTATCCACAGATCCACAGTTCACTCCTGACCTCATTATCAAGCTCACACAGAGCCAGGCTGGCACTCCAGCAAAGCCACCTACAACAAGCATCCTACTCAGCTCCATCATCAGGGCTAAGAGGCACTTCCTGAGTACCCCACACCTGCCAGTCCCAGCCACCTGGAGTGGAGGCTGGCCTCACCCAGTCTCCTGCTCTTTGACCAGGTGATGATGTAGGGGACATCGAGGCCCTCAGCCTCAAGAACTCCACATCTGCTGCCCAGAGGGGTATACAAATATTATCCTTTCTAAGTGTGCTGTGATGCAGGAAAGGTTGGGGACATGGGTCTACTGGAAGATAAAAGAGGAGAGACAGGCAAATGATGAAAGGGGACAGCAAAGCCCTGCCTGGCAACTGTTGCAGAGTCTGTGCACCAAAGCCTGATAGCCACTGCCTTCTGACCTTCCTTGATGGCCACAGTGCTTATATGAGATTCAGCCACATAAGCCCTGTGCTGAGGACATCAGTCAACAATGGCAGGTAGCTTGCAGAGCTCCTAAGTCTCCTCCTAAGGCCCCATTTCTCTCTTCTTGGGCTTCACACTGCCTTTTGCTGCCGCTGTGGAATGCATTAAAACTTGTCATCTTAAACTCTAACCCATGTTAAGAAACAGAGAAAAGGCTAGGTCCAGTTATTGGACCAAGAAAGAAGATTTCCACTCTATTAGAAGTCTGGTAAAGCTATAAGTTGATCAGCTTTTCAAAGGACAAGAGCTTAGATGGTGAGCTAAATTCTGGACTTTTCTTTTGGTAAAATGAAATTTCAGGGCAATGCAAATGACACCCTCCAAGGGCATCTCATGTGGATGGGTATTAACGTGGGAGTTTGGCTGGTCGTGATGAAGGTGGCGTTCCAAGAGAGATGTCAGGTGGACCTAGGGAGGAGGAGGTCCTCGGCTTGCGGGAGGAAGGTTTACATAGACAGGCATAGCCCACTATTCTGAAGCATGCATCTGTGTTTCAAGAAACAATGTAGGGGAATACAGTTGGCAAGAGATAACTCTGATTCCATGCCACCACCCTAAAACAGAATTGCTTCAGAATATTCTGAAAGACTGAGAGGTGAAAGGAATGCAGGCTGCAGAAAAAGCTCAAGCACATTGTTACAATTTTTCAAAAGCAATTCATCTAAGCCATGCAAGCTCTTGGATGCGCAGTTAAAAGGAAAATAACGAAAACCAAAGAGTTGTTTTAAACGTGCAGTATCAGTTCTCCTGTGGGAAGCCAAGGTTCTGTAGGTGGGAGTTTTGTGTGTGTGGGTTTTTTGGTGGTTGTTGTTTCTTTGTTTTTTCCTTTTATCATTTCTTACTGGGCCATCTTCCCCAGCTTTGAGCTGGTGGCCGCACCAGCTACTGGTAATCCCTTCAGCAACAAAAGCTCACGCTGCTTCTTGCTTCATGGCAAGGAGCAGAGCTGGCTGGCATGCTGCTCTCTCTGCACCCCAAGAGCCAGAGCTCATGACCTTCTCAGAGGGAGAGGACTTGGTCGCTGTCCTAGCCCCGGTCCTGAAGTCAGCTCCCTGACCTGAGCCAGACCAGTGTCGAAAGCTGTGAAGGCAGCAACGCTATAAAAATTTGGTTGTCACAAGGCACACCAAAGGCTCATCCCATGCCCATGGCCCAAGGATGCTAGAATGCTGAACTGGCTGAACAGATCCTGCACCTTTAAAACTTAGAAACAGAACAGTCAAAAACAACCATCTTAATGTCTAAGTCCACATGTATTTAAATAAAAAGGCAAAAATAGTATGCATATATATATATATATATATATATATATATATACTGTGTGTGTATATATACATATATAGATAGATATAGATGTTATATATATTTATAAAAATTTGAAGGTTAGTTATTTTGTGATAAATAACAAAAGGAAATAAGCATGCCTGCTAGTAAAAAGGGCATCTTTGGTAATTATGATAGTAAATTCAGTCTTGATAAGAACATTTCAAAAACACAATTTCCTGAAAGCTATTTTTCATGAGACGTTCTCAACAATATACTGAAGGGTAACTGGAAACTAGTTCTGAATATTTCATTTTGGACAAAAAATATAGGCTTTTCACTTTGAGATCATGATCTTGTCCTCAAACATTAATTCCTTCACCAAAAAGAAAAGCCCTGCTCCAGCCATGTGGGTTTTAGTTTTTCACTGAAGCCTCTTCTTTGTTTGGAATGGTCTTCAAATTACCCCCAAAGAATTACACCAAATGGCCAAAGGGCTTTCTTTATCTGTTGGCCTTAATGTTCTAACTGATATATAAAGCATTTTGCAAACATTCTCTGGCCTTTCTGGAGACACTAGCATTAAAACCAATGCACTGGCCAAGGACTACTTAGGAAACAGACTGCACTGACCACCAGCTGGAGGGACAACTTGGTCAAGTAATTTCATGCTGGTTTTCTTCCAAATTTTCTTTATCACAGCCCGAAGTTCTTCATTAGCTTGCTCCAGGTTCCCTGGATTCAAAAAACAAAAGGGGAAAACAAGGCTTGTTTCTGTTCCCCAGCTTCTCCTCAGATTGCACAGCCTCATCCCAGCCTGACCTGGATCAACATGCTGCCCTCTGATGGGGCTCCCCTCACGCCGGCCTCCTCTCCCCTCACGCCGGCCTCCTCTCCC